TATTCGACCTAAGTGGTAAATGGAGATTGGTCCCACTTTGCTGAAAATAATGTTAAACTCTTTCTCGTATGTACTCTGTGTACTAGGTCCAACGTTTTTAAATAATCTGCATCTAGGGCTTAGCACTGAAGTTGCCTCGTCTAGATTTGGATCCGTTGTTTGTGTTTTCTCGCCATAAAACTGTTGTAATAAATGATTCCTTTACTTTATTTGAACGTGAAAGAATGCGCTTTACCCCAGTGTCCTTTTATCTCGTGCTTGTCCAAGGATTTACCCGAAAAAAAGTTTTTGTACTATCATATGATAATCTGCATTTGAACGTTAATTTACATACTTGACAAAAACTTTCATCGGTTACGGGAATCGGATAGACGATTTATCCTTGGTCATAATACTGTAAGGTATACGTCGAAATGCTACAGATTTAATATGTAAAAAAATTTGTACCCATTTCTGACACCTGGAGTGGAGAGTTGGCAAACAATGTCCGGGCTAAAATTTAAGCTCGGCCAAGAGAGAATGAAGTACGCCGACTCATCGACCTCACATGGGGAGAAGTGCCATTTTATAGAATAAACGTCCCACTTTGACACATTATATATACTGTCCAAGAAGTCTTGTGCAAAATGTTTAAAACGCTCTTATCTTATGCATAATTTATAAGAGTTCTACAAATGCAGTTTTCTTTTCCTCGGAGCCTGCGCAGCAAACATTTCCGCGCGAGTTTGACAGAAACGCTTGCTACGCGGGCAAAACGCGAGCTAAACGCGGGCTACGGCTTCAAACGTCGTGGAACTTCTCAGGGGCACGTAGCCTTGGACCAGGCTCCGCATGTGAGAAAAAGGGAGGAAAAAATTAGCGTGCGCGAAAAACAGTCGGTGAGCGAAGCGAGCCGACCGATAGTCTGAGGAGGGGTCCACCGCTCGGCTCGCTTCGCTCGCCAATGTTTTTCCTATTTCACCCCTTTTTTTGCCCTTTTCCGCCCTGCGGAGCCTGTCCCAGGCTACACCCAACCACAGTTTAATTATTCCAACCTTAATACATCGAAAACACTTTTCAGGCTGTTCAGAGTACTTTTAGATCTCTAGAAATGCATTCTAAGCGGCACTATAAAACTAGTACCTGTTCGGTCATCCTGGGGAAAACTTGAGTCTTTTCGAAATTACAAGGCCTTCGGTATTATTTTTTTAGATGCAATTTAACGCGCGTATTTTGAAAGTTAGAGTCCTCTTTCCATCAAATTTTTGAATCCTTAGATATTAGCTTGGAAAATTGTACGTGAATGAAGCGGTCATCTAGAAAATTTTTAGCCGTCCTCAAGTAATGGAAAATTCTAGGCAATAGTTTCTTTATTCTCCGAAAAGTTATTTTGAAGAAAACAGTCGTTGAGTGCCCCTAGCTGACTTCTATCAAATACGTGATTTGATTCACGCTTAAAACGGAAGCTGCATGCTTGTGGCGTGGCTATCATATGACAAACAAATTCCTGCGTATTGCAAAATAATTTGGGAATTGGCGGGACAGATCAAGGAGAGAAAATGCAACAGAGACTCAAAGGAAACATCCCCGTCTTCTGGCCAAGGGTATGAGGTACTTCGAGCAGATTCATTGAGCTGTTAGAACTTCAGTGATTTTCAGTTGCCAACTGAGGTAAGCTGCTGAAGAGCAAAAATTTTCTTTCCGGTTGAATTCACTGAAAACTTACTTTCATTATCTACTTTCTCTAGATCAGAAATGAAAAATTTTGGAGCAAACCGTAAAAAAAAAACTAATAATTATATTTCTTCTTTAATATTTATTGAATATGTGACTGAAGAATGATGTGTGTGCATGAGTGTAATTTGGTACCAAAGTCATGTTCTATTTTTTATATCCAAAAGTTGCAA